GGCCTCAGAGCCTCCCGGAACCGCAGTTACAGCTGTGTGAGCCACCTGGCATGGGTGCAGGGACTGAACTCAGGCGCTCTTCAGAAGTCAGTGCTCTTCACTGCTGAGCTATTGTTTTTTTAAGGCTGTTTATGTCATGGAAAGTTTTTCTTTCTCCAACTATGATTTTATATATCAGATAGTTTTGCTGGATATATTAGTCTGGTTGGCCTTTGTGGTCTTTTAGGACTTGGAGTGCATTTTCCAAGTTTCCAATGAGAAATCAGCCATCATGCTGATGGATTTTCCTTTGTGCACAATTTGCAAGTTGTTCATTGTTTTTCCTTTCACAGATCTCAGTATACTTTCACTGTCTACTTAGTGTTTTCACTCTGACATACTGTAGAGGTTTTCTTTCCTGGTCTTGTCTATTTTGTGTTCTGCATGCTTCTTGTATTTGTAGGGATACGTCTTTCCTAGTTTGGGGTAGTTCTGTTATCTTGTTGAGGATCTGGTCTCTGCCATTGACTTGAGAGTCTACCCCCTCATCCATGTTTATCATGGTGTTCCACATTTCTTTTTCTTTTTTTAAAAATTTATTTATTTAAGCCGGGCTGTGGTGGCGCACGCCTGTAATCCCAGCACTTGGGAGGCAGAGACAGGCGGGTCTCTGTGAGTTCGAGGCCAGCCTGGTCTACCAAGGGAGTTCCAGGACGGGCTCCAAAGCTACAGAGAAACCCTGTCTCGAAAAACCAAAAAAAAAAAAAAAAAAAAATTTATTTATTTATTATGTATACAATGTTCTGTCTGCATGTATGCCTGCCCACCAGAAGAGGGCACCAGATCTCATAGATGGTTGTGACCCACCATGTGGTTGCTGGGAATTGAACTCAGGACCTCTGGAAGAGCAACCAGTACTCTTAACCTCTGAGCCATCTCTCCAGCCCTTCCACATTTCCTGTATGTCCTTTTCCTGTAGTTTTTTTTTAAACTTTTCATTTCTTATTTATTTTCATTGCTTATTTATTTATTCCTTGCTTATTAATCTAAACTTTTCTTAATCTCATTAGCTGTTTCATTGTTTCTTCTTTAAACTGCTTGAATTCTTTAATGAGATTTATGGGTTTTTGTTAAAGTCAGTGTTTTGGAGTCCTTCTGGGTAACTCTCCTTGGCATCAGTGAGATCTGTACATGAGTGCTGTCTGGCACGGACAGAGCAGGTTAGGGTGGAAGAGAGGATGCACGGGTGAGTTGGCCAACAGGTTGAAAATGTCATAGGCGGAATGAAATCAGGGGGACAGAGGGGACAGGACTGGTGTGCCGGATGTGTGCAGATCTGGCTGGTTGGCTGTGCTGGGGGTGGTGCTATTGGTCTAGGCGGGCAGGTCAGACTGGGGAAGGTGTGTGAAAGGGATGATCAGACAGACTCTCAGCTGCCTGTAACTCTAGTTCCAGAGACCTGACGCCCTCTTCCCGTCTTCCTCAGGCACTTCACGAACTTCGTGCACACATATACACATGAAACAATAAATCTTTAACTTAAGAGAAAATAAGATGGTGGTCTGGAGAAATGGCTCAGAGGTTAAAAACACTGGCTGCTCCTCCAGAGGTCCTGAGTTCAAGTCTTAGAAACCACATGGTGGTTCCCAGCCACCAGGTCTCCTCTTCTGCCGTCCACGCACACATGCATGCAGAACACTGTATAAATAATAAATAAAGATTCATGTTTAAAAAAAGAAAATGGGATGGGAAAGTGTTTGAGGAAGACACTTGGCATTGCCCTGACCTCTGTGTCCACTCTCTTCCCCACCCTCTCTCTCCTCCCTTTCTCCCTCCTCCTCTCTCTCTCTCTCTCTCTCTCTCTCTCTCTCTCTCTCTCTCACACACACACACACACACACCCCAATAAAATAAAGTCTTAGTAATTAGTACTTAATAGTTAAATTAGTGCTGACATATGAAAATCAAGAGACATCTCTTACAGTCTTACAGAAGATGTCTGTAATCCCATCATCATCCTGCCTGTTTCTCCACGTTTGCTGACGCCAAGTGTCAACACCCTGCCCCTCTACAGGGTGTTTTGGTTTGGTTTCTGTTGCTGTGACCAAAACCAAAGGTGACTTGGTAAACAAAAGGTTTATTTCCCTTACCTGTCCCAATCGCAGCTCATCACCAAGGGAACCCAAGGCAGGACCTCAGGCAGGGCAGGAACCTGGAGGCAGAAACTGAAGCCATGGAGGAAACAGCTGGCTGGCTTCCTGTGGCTCCTTAGCCTGTTTTAGTCTACAACACAGGACCACCTGTCCCCCTGTGGTGGCACCGTGCACCATGGCCTGGGCCCTCTGTGCTGTGCCTTGCAGCTTGCCTATAGGTCCATCTGGAGGGGCAGTTTCTCAGTTGAAGATCCTCTTCCCTCACTGGTGTCAGCTCCACGGGTGACCCATGTCCTCTCTGAGGATGTTCCCTCACTTTTAAGCATAGGGTCCGTGACTCTCTGCCTTGACACACTGTGCCTTAATGGCTGACTTGACTTTCCCCAGGCAGCCCGTACTCCTTCTCCAAGCTGCTGGGGCTGCCTAGGAAGCCCCTCAGACATCTGCTCCTCTTCCAAAAGTAGCACAGTGATGTGAATTCAACTCCCCTGGGCATGGCAAGGTGGCAGACCTGAGAACAGCTCCCCTGGGCATGGCGAGGTGGCCTAACTTATGAGCATGGATTCCTCAGCGGGGTACCTGGGTTCAGTTCCCAGCACCCATATGGCAACTTCAAGCCATTCATAACTTCAGGCGATCTGACACTCTCTCCCGACCTCCACAGGCACCAAGTACACTTACATACAGACAGACAGACAATCAGGCACAAAACTAGAACAAATCTTGTTTTTCAAAAAAGACAATACAAGTTCGTGTTTAAAAATGCTTTAATTTAAAAACTTAATAATACAGCAAAAATAGTGTGTGAAAAATAATGGCTGAGAATCTCTGAAGGCTGAGAATGGTCCCTGGCCCAGCCTGGCCCTCCCTCTATGTGTGTGCAATCAGTCAGATGTTACAGTACTCCAAGCAGATGACATTTTGAGGCTCAGTTCATTCTTACTTGCCTCCTCCCTTCTGCCTCTCCAATGCAGGGGCCAGAGGAGTAGAAGGGAGATAAGACCTCTGCAGTCGGGCAGCGAGCATGAGGCCCAGTCTCCAAGGGCAGATAGCTCCAAGGCCTGGGGACCTCTCTGCCTTAAAAGGCCCAGGAATTCCTGTGGGGAAAGGAGCTGGTGACAGGAGGTCTGTGTGCCAGGAATATCAAGGTCACTGTGTCACAAGCTAGTCACAAGTACTCTGGGCCTTCTCCAAATCTTCCCTCCAGTCTGGGCAGCAGGAATCACGCAGCAGCCACAGCTGAGTTCCAGTGGCTCAGGGAACTCTCTAGACTGCAGGAAAAGTGTCCAGGAGCATCTTGGCCAGGGGAGGAGTAGAGCATTCATTAGAATTCAAAGGACTCTGGGACCCAAATAATTATTCGAGGACAGTAGCAATTCAAAGGCTAATCCACATCAGGATTCTGATGCAGAGAGGTCCCTGCCCCCGCCCCCCACGGCAATCACTGCTTTATGGGAAATGAGAGCTGTAAGCGCTAAATGTGTCTACTGGAGGGCAGTCCATGCTGCGTCAGGGGTGCTTTTCATTAGAGTGTGTGTTTAAACCTTTATTATTATTGTTTTATATGTGTATGGTTGTGTGTGTCTGTGCGTATGCACTGTGCACCGTGTGGAAGTTAGAGGTCAACTTTCTTTCCATATACCGTGGGTTCTGGGGTTCAAACTCCAGTCACCTCTGTGAGTGAGCTTTCAAGGTGTCATGGTACAAAAGCTCCTTGTATCCCAGGTGGCAGCTGGAGAAGGCTGGCACTCAGAGCGCTGGCTCCCATGCTCACAGGGCAGGTGGCCTGAGATGTCTTCGCCTGTCTGCTGTGAACAGCAACCCTGGCGCCACCCCTCACCTCTCCACTCTCCTAGCTCCTTCTGGTTGGAGTGGGAGGGGCAGATACTGCATTAGCTGGCTAGACTGCTTTATCAAAGTCTACCAAGCAACAGACGGGCATTGTCCTATGTTCTCCAGGCTGGAGTCTGAAACGAAGGCCCAGGAGGGCCTAGTGTCCTTGAAAACTCACAAGGAAAATTGTTCCTTGTTTCTGTCCAGAGTCCAGTGGCCATCCATTTTTAGCTCTTTTTGGCTTTTATCTTTGTCTCTGGCATCTCCTAGTGTTCTCCTTGTGTGTCAAGTGTCCCTCTTCTCATAAGGGTATGAGCCCTACTAGAGTAGGACCCGCCTCAATTGCTCATTGAAAGCTGATGGTTGGACAAGACCCTGTTTCCAAACAAGGTAGCATTCGCTAGTGCCGGGGGGCTGAAACCTCAGTGTGCCTTTTAGGACCAAATTCATCCAGCAAGTCAAACCTGTCACCCCAAGGACCCTGCCACATCAGTCCCATGTGTTGCCAGTGCCCACAAACACACCTGCCCCTGTACCCTTTGGGATGGCTGGGGTGGCCACTTTCCCTCCTGCACACCTTGCTCAGGGTACCTGTTCTGAAGGGGTCATTTTTCTACTCTGTCTCAACCCTCTGAGAAACAATTTCTATCCAGATTGAACTATGAGGTGTGTGTGTGTGTGTGTGTGTGTGTGTGTGTGTGTGTGTGAACTGTGAGGGATGCATGCGTTTGTGTGAATCGTGAGCGGTGTGTGAGCGTATGTGTGTCCGTGTCTGTGTGCATTTGTATGTATAAGGAATGCAAGAGGGGTGTGTGATAAGGGAGGAGGGGGAGATAGAAAGAGAATAGGGTCACAGTTGTGAACAAAGAGACATGGATAGGGGGGACACTGTGTTTGGATACCAATTCTGTGACGTTAGCAGAGACCAAAAAGCAGTGGCTGCAGGAGCTGTGGGGAAAACTCTTTCTAAGCAGTGGGCAGGGCACGAAGGTGAGGGGTCTGCGCCGTCTGCACCACTCAGAGTGGATTGCTGTTTCTTTCAGAGCCGCCTCAAGTGTGTCAATGTCCTGTGGGGGACAAGGAAGATGGAGGACATGCCTTTTCCTTTTCAAAGGCTACTTATGAACTGGACTCATCGTGTCCAAGTCTCTGACCAGAACTCAGTCATGTGACCCTGCTAATGTCGGGAGATTTGGGGAAACTCGGCTTGCATTCTCAGAGGTCACATTGTTGCGTCTCTGCTAGATTTAAAAAGAGAAGGGTAGGTGCTGCAAAATTAATTGATCATCTACTAGAGAAGGAATGTGATTTTAGGAAACTAGTGTTATCAATTCATTCCTCAACCCTCAATATCAAAAACTCTGATGGTACCCCTACAATAAAGACTATGACAGGCATGTAACCAGAAAGATGAGATTGTCACATGTAGGGCTTGTCTACGCATAATGAGCTATGGGGTTCACGACAAAGGCTTCAGTTCAGGAAGGTGTGTGGCAGGCTGTTCTACAGCCACCTGGTTTTCAATGACATAGCAGGCTCTGAAGCTCTCCAGAACACGGGCCTGGAAGAACGCTTTGTCTTTCTCCTGCCAGGCGTCCGACTCAATGTACACGTTGAATGGGTCGTGCGAGTGCTCCAGCTTCTTGGAGCGGATGTAACTCAGCATGATGCCCAGGGTGAAGAAGCCAAAGAAACCCAGCACCATGAGGATGTAGAGAGCTTCCAGCTTGCTGTCGTCTCGAAGCTGAGACCTGCGAGCCAGCCCCGACACATTGCCGCCCTGTTCGGCGGTCTCCTGCCACAACATGGTCATCACAGTCGTGGTGTTAGACAGGAACATCTTGGGCTTCAAGTTTTTCTCGGATGTAGAGCAAAATTCCTGAAAGGAAAATGCAACTTAAAATCAAATAATATGAACCAGCCACCTCCTAGCCATGCTAACAGTTCTTTAGAGTCTCAGGTGACAGGGGGAGTGGACGGCCATCCTTCTGTGGTGTATACCATCAGGATGTGAACAGACATCCTTCCGTGGTGTATATATCATTAGGGAGTGGACAACCATCTTTCTGTGGTGTATACCATCAGGAAGTGGACAGACACCCTTCCTTGGTGTATACCATTGGGGAGAGGACAGACCCCCTTCCGTGGTGTATACCATCAGGAAGTGGGCAGACATCCTTCCGTGGTGTATACCATTAGGGAGTGCACAGCCATCCTTCCATGGTGCATTCCACCAGGGAGTGGACAGCCATCCTTCTATGGCGTATGCCATTAGGGAGTGGACACACACCCTTCCGTGGTGTATACCATTGGGGAGCAGACAGCCATCCTTTCATGGTGTATCCCATTGGGGAGTGGGCAGATATCCTATTGTATATACCATGAGAGTCTTACTGGCCTCTCTTGGTCAACTGACGTTTGATTCATTGTAGTTCTGCTCACCGTCCCCTCAGCTCTCTGGTAGGCAGCCATTGGAATGAGTTTCACCAACACGTTACTGTGTCATAAGTGATATGGGGTCATGTGTGTCACCGGGTCTTTCCCTTTTCCCTGACTGCTGTCTTCATGGCCCATTCATATGCTGCATGCATGTGCAGTTCCTTACATTCCACCTATGTCCGTATCAGACACTCCTTTCTCTGCCCACTCCCTACAGAGATGGACACTCTGGTGTCCACTCCGTAAACAAAGCAGAAGCCTGGCAAAGTAGCTCCCTGGGTGAAAGTGCTGGTCATAATTCCATCCCTGGGACCCACATCATATACAGAGAGAGTTGACTCCCACAAACTGTCCTCTAGCCTTCTCGTGTGTGTCCCCTCCAAACACACATACATGTACACAAACAAATAAATAAGCAGATTAATAAATGTACTTTTAAAAAAACTTTTAAAAAATGCAGAGGCAGGAGGATTCCTATGAGTTTGGGTCTCCAGAATGAGTTGCAGGCCAGCCAGCGCTGGTGAAATCCTATCTCAAAAATAAAAATATAAATAATAAACAAAAGAGAGATGCAGCCTCATTCTGTCTCTATGACCCCGAAAATGAATTCTACATTCCTGCACCAGTTCTTGGTGGCTGTGGTAATGGGTGGGGACCTACCCCATGGGTTCATGTATTTGAGCACTGGTCCTGGGCTTGGAGCACCCTTGTTCCGGGAAGCTGTGGGACTTTTACGAGGTGAAAGTGTGGTAGAGGAAGCACAGCACTTGGGGTGGGCTGGAGGGCTTATAGTCCCGCCCACTTCCGTTTCACTCTGCTTCCTGTGTGCAGAGGACAGCTATGGATGGGCTCTGAGTTTGCAGATCCCTGCTTTGTTCCTCCGTTGCTTCCCCTGTCCCAGACTCCACCCTGTTCAGACTTCAGCTCCACAGTGATGCTGGCCAGTGAAACCCCTTAGTAGTGCAACTAACGCTCTCCAATTCAGCCCAGCTCTCACCTCCATTCTGAAGCCTTCTTTGGTATGTAGGACTGGGTTAGCATCGATTGATGCCCCTGCCAGCTTCATCCCCTCCCAACTCTATCTCCACCAGCTGAGCTAAGGCGTGGACCACAGCAGCAAAAGAGCTACCCAGAAACATTTCTTGAGCTGATATCTTCAAAACTTACTACCATCCCACAAACAGGGCCTGGCACTTTAAAGCCTGCTTATTCTAATTAAAAGAGGCCATCAGGCTAGCTTCAGAGCTTCAGTTAACGCCCTTTTCAAGTAGGAAAGCAGCTACCACCCAAACCTACTCTGCTCAGACTTTGGGGTCCCACCTCCAGCTTTGGATTCTGTCTTTGCAATTTCCTGGACACACGATTCTAGAAATGTCCCCAGCTTCTCCTGGGCATGCCTTTTCCTCTTTGAAAGATGGAAAAACTCAACACTGATGTTTTCAAGCTGTTGGAGCAAGCATGGAACGTGGCCAGTGCTGGATTGGCATTTCGTGGTCCTGAGCATGGGTGTGAATGGGTGGTCTTGACGGTCAACTTGACCGGATTGAGAGACACCTAATGATACTGGTAAAACACACTTCTGGCTGTGTCTGTGAGGACACTTCCAAAACTGATTAGCTCATGCAGGCTTTGGTTAGTCAATGGTTAGATCCATAAATGGATTCAGAATTTTAATAGACTAACAGAGGCAGTAGGACCTTTGGAGCTGAGGCTGAGTTGAAGAACGTGGGTTGTCGCTGCCTTTGAAGGGTCTGCATTCCCCTTGGCCCCTTCCTGATACTGCTTGCTGCTTCCTGGCTGCAACAGGTGAGCAGACCTGCTTTGCCGTGTGCTGCTCCAGCCTCACCACAGCTCAGAACCGGTGGAGTCAAGCAACCACAGATTGAAGCCTCTGAGAGTGTGAGCGAAGACCAGCCCGTCCAGAGTGCTTTCTCGGTGTCTGTCACAGTCCTGGAAGTGACTGACACAAGGAGGTCATTCAGCCTCACCTAGAAGTTGCACTCTAAGAGTCTGTGGCTTCAGGCTTAGGTTTCATTTTGCCATGGTGGACGACTGTGGCTTCTCCCCCCCCCCCCCACTTCCTGGAAAGAGCTTTCGTGAATGAGCTCTGAAGCTCGTCTGTCCGATTGCTAGCCTACTGAGTATGTGCAGAGGCCTGTTGGGGTGGAGAAGGTTGAAGAGACATCAAACTACTGATTCCTTAGCGAAGCAAAAATCTAGTCCCTTTCTGAGCCGGGGGACAGACAGGAGTCATCTAGAAACAGATCAAAACTCACAGCTCAGTGGTTTTTCTTAAAAGAGGAGAAACCATTTAGGGAGTCTCAGGCCCCTCCCCCAGAGAAGAGCAGGCATTGAGCTGCTCTTTTGGAGATTTTATTTCCCAAATCCCAGCGCAACCACACTGACCTGCTACCAATTGCTATGAGGGAGTTCTCACAGAGCAGTGACTATGTGGGAGATGGCAGGCAGCACTGGGGGACCCAAAGGTTAATTGGTTTAGAATCAATAACTCTACACATTAAACTAATTTCAGAGTCAATTCTGTATTTAATTTATATTTGTGGGTTTGCTAAAAAGCCCCGTTTCTTAAAACAAGGTGGAAATTACCATGGCCAGAAGAAACAGGCCTGAACATCTGTTTCAAACCCCTGGGCTCACACTGCCCTCCCTCTCCTTTAAGGTCCTCCTTTAGCCAGAGAAGCACCTGAGCTACAGCTCACTGAGCTCTGCCTCCAGGGTCTCCTAAGACTTAGGAGCAGACTGGGAATTTGCATGTCAGGTGTCTTTTTGAGTTCTCGGAGCTCAAGCTACCACTCTGGGCACCAGGCTCTTCACTTTGAGACTGTCTGTGAAGCACTTAGAAAATAATGACGCCTGGATCCCACCGCAGAGATGTTAATGATGTTGCTCCTGCCCGACACCGGACTTTTAAAAAGCTTCCTGCTATGGTTTGAATGTGTCCCCAAATCGGGTGCTGGAGAGAATTCTCAATGAAACCGCGCTGAGAAGTGGGGCCTTTAAATGGTGGTTAGGATGAGTTGGGGCTGTTCACCCCACTCTCTTTCTTCCCTCTTCCACTATGGGATAGTATGGGAAGAAGGTTCTTGTTAGGTGTGTGCCTTTGGCTTCAGCCTTTCAGCCTCCAGAACAGGAAGAAGGAACTGTCCTCTTGTGTGTGTCTCCTGTGGTCCATACTGGACTTGAACTTACTGTGCAAGGAGGATGACCTTGCATTCCTGCAGGTCTTGCCTCCACCTCCCCAACGCTGGGACTCTATTATATCACCACGCCTAGCTCACACCTGCTGAGGACCGAGCCCAGGGCACCACACACTAATAAAACGCTCTCCCAAATGAGCTACACACCCAGCTGGAAATGAATTCCTTGTGTTACTGAGCCTAGGTGCCTTTTGTCATAGAGTTCTCTACCCCTGAGTGGCACTAACAGTCAGGTTTACACCATCTAGGCTGTGCAGTGGAAACGCAGGAAACGGACTGATGTTTTCTACAGAACACCTGGCAAAATTAACTGTCTGAGATATAGAGCGTGGCTTTATGGTCAAATGTTCTCATCTTTCTGTTTTCCAGATCTTTCGCGGTCTTGCATGCTTCTCCAGCAAGCATCGCTTTCATGATGCTTGTGCTGGCTCGCCCTGGCATCTTACACCATGACTAGCTTTATGCTAGGCCAGAAAAACCAGCGGAAGCACCTGCCTTTCAGATAACAGCTCTACAGTTTACAGGTATCGTTACATACTTTACATGACTGCATTGCCTTGCTTTTGCTAAATGTTCCCTGCACCCCACAAAGCCTGCAGACAGTTCACTATGGCATTTCGTATACTGAGAGTTCAAATGAGTTTGTCAGTGGCCTTGTGACAGTCCTGGCAGAAATGACACAGGGTCCAGTCTGCCATTGGGAACTTATGTCAGATCCCCAAGTTCACGTGCATGACAGTGGCAGAGCCCCCACAGCCCGGCGGCCCTGGTGTCAAGACTGTGGGACTCAGACGGCTGGGAGAGCAACTGATCCATTCATTTTAATTTGCAGAAATCTGAGCCCCACAGTGCAGAGATGATAACCCCAGGGTTATCTCTCCTATCAAAACACACGAAGCATAATTCTTTAGCTACCAGTTCCCATCTTATCAGTACAGCAAAGGGAGTTTCTAAAGCCTTGTAGATAGGAGTTGGAACCAGCCACTTCCCGGGTCAGTTGGGTCTCACATGTGAGGACTGGTTTTAACATTCCCTGAACTATTAGAGGTTGGCCCCCTCTCAGTTCTCCACGGACACTCTGTCCCGAGAGAGCCATTGGTCTGAGTCATTGAAGTGGGTCCAGGCTGGCAAGGCAGCAACAGTAAGACCCTCGAACCCACAGCTTCAGCCATAACCAACCCTGGGCTCAGGTTGTGTGGAATATTCTCACCCAGGCACTGACTGGGATTTCTACACATTTCCACAGATCTTGGGCTTGAGACAGGGCATGGTCCCAGGCAGAATAGTGCAAGTGTGTTTTTTCCTCAAAAGCTCAGGCACGGAGCTGCAGGCCTGCTGGAAGTCGCTCAGGACTCAGGCCTTGGGAGGCTGAGCAGAACTGAACGGCTGTGGCTGTGAGTGGAGCCTGTGTGACCCCCAGTGTGCCCTTCTGCATTCCTGCCCCACCCTGCTCCGTGTGCTCTTATTAGGTTACCTATCAGCACCAATAACAGTCTGGAAGCTTCCGGAACAAAGGCTTTCCTAACACTGGCAACATTCAGAGGACTTGGGTTTTGCTCACCTGGCAGGGCTTTCTTCTAACACTTTAGGTTCCAGGATAGACGGGGGAGCTGGGAGTCATGGCCAGAGCTGGGGTCTGGCTCCTGCCCCTCTCAGGTTTGGGTGAACCAAAGAGCCTCCCCTAATGGCTCCTTGTCTCAGTGGAGGGGGGGGGCATTCTTGTTCTCACTGACAGGATTCCTGGAGCATTTCCTCGAAAGAGCACTCCTTAAGCGAGATGCAGGGGTTGAGTCTCTGAGGCATTGGGCCTTATATGTTCAGAAGCAGACTGTGAGCAAAAGCAATTCTAGATAGGCCTGACTTGGATGAGCGTGACCTTGGCTGAACCTAGAATTTACACCAGTTGTCACTTGGAAGCAACTGTCTATTGCTTGTGCCTTTGTTTCAACCCTACGTCCAAATTCTGGAAACACACATGCTACGTTTATCCCTTAGCAAGGGGCCTCCAGACTCTCCAGGCAGCAAGCTGGCCTTGCCTTGGTCTTCCATTTCTCCTCTGGGAACTGAGGCCGACAGGGCTTCTCAAGGAATTAGGCCAGAGTATGGAGACCCAGAACCGCGAACGGGAAAGCTACTCTGCCATCTCCTGGCTGCATGCAGACTGCAGCCTCTGAATCTGGTTCTATTCCCCCGGCATCCCCAGACCTCCCCGCAGGGGACAGACATGAGGAATGGAAATGCAGGCATAGAAGGTTCAACAGGGGAGGGCTGTGAGAATTTTGGATAAAGAACGAAAGACAACTGAAGTCGTTTATAAGGAAGGCGGTAGGAACGGTACCTTCAGCAAGTCAAGTCAACCCAAGAAGCCTCAGTTTCCCCATTTGAAAACTTGGGATGGGGAACTCTACCCTGTCTACGTGCACACACCACAGGGTTGTAAGCAACATCAAATGACCCTGCCATGACCTTTGCCCCTGCCCTTTTCAGGAGCATGTGTAGACCGTCTCTGTGGTCATGTGCTATAGGTTCTTCAAAGGCTAGATGGAACGGCAGACTGTGAAAACCCCACCTTGTCTCCCCGTGCTGGCTGCTCGTGGTACCAGTCTCTCTCTCTCCTACGATTGGAGTGTTGGCAAGTCTGGACTTTTCCTTCCAGGAACCTCCCAAGTCTGTAGACTATTATCTACTTCTGTTCCCCACTCCGGCTCTTAGATTACTTCAAGAAAGACTTGCTGTGTAAACGCGAGCTCAGGGTCAGACTGGATACCACTGCAGTGAGAGAGCAAATAGGAAAGAAAGCGCATTGCATTCTGGGAGTCTTCTGTGAGATGACTGCAGGAAAGCCCCGGAAATGCAGAATGTTCTCCTGCTAAAGTTTATATTGTTTTGTTTATTTTTAATAAATCTTTTGCATGATACAATTTTCATTATCTATATTGCTATATATGGATCTGAAACTCACCCTATCTCCAGAAAGATTTAAGGCTACCAAACGGCAAGGTTTGAGAGCAGGGATCTTTGTGTCTGCAATTTTTCATTCTCTCCAGAACAGCTGGAACCGAGGCTGTGTCTGGTGGGAATGCAGTAATCATTCATCAGAAGCAGGCATGCATGCATGAATGCATGACTGTCTCGAGTTCCATCTGACCCCCAGCAAGAGACCACACAGGAGTCTGCTCACCCCAGAGATGTCGATGACCTGTGTGAATCTCTCTGAGGTCCGTCAGCTTTTGTATTTGGGGTTCATTCCCAATCCACTATCACAGGCAAGCCCTGCGGGGTGATGTCTGGGCTGTTTCCTTGGGAATTTGGGGTTCCTTCCTCACTTGCTGGAAAAGCCCAGGCAGAAGTTTTGGCCCCAGTTGACTGCCTGAAATTCCCACTACTCCCAAGAATTCAAGCAGTGCCTGTGAACTCAGCAAAGGGCCCATCTCCCTGGCCACACATGGCAGCTACAGTTAGTCTTCCTTCGTGGGGATGGCCAGTGCTTCCTGTGCTGAAGTGAGCTACCGGTGCAGAGACATCTAAACAGCCCAGGGCGGGATGCCCTAAATGACCCAGAGAGCCCTCTTGATCTCAGTGGAGTGGGGTAGGGATCAGGCACACAGCTGGGCTGTCAACCAGCTTTCTTCTAGAACGTTACCATTCCCTCTGCCATCATGATCTGATAATAGTCCTGTTCTCCAAGTCCTGTGCCTTTCCCGTGGGAAAAAGGCCAAAACCCAGGAGCCTTCCTGATCAAAATCAATACACGAGTAAGGTGATAAAAATGAAATCAGTCCCGTCATGGCTGCTGTGCCTTCTATTGCTGAGCTGAGGGTAGGGGCTCTCTGAGACTGAGCAATGGGGTGGTGGTTTTAATTTCCTTTTGATGCTTTAAATATTTTCCAAATCTTCTCCGAGAATGCCTATGAGTTAATAAAAGCAAAATGTTTTCCTATGACTTCCCTGGAAGTGAAGACAGGCTGACAGGGGTTTGGCTAGGGGCTGAATAACAGTCCCAGTATGAGGGGCATCTGTAGGCCAAGACTGAGACATGGTCCCAGGAGGGCATCTGTTCCAGGGGCAGCAGCCCCGGACTTACCGGGTTGGAAGCAGAGGGAGCCCGGTGTGCAGCGGGGTTCTTGGCTCGTCCTGAGGTTGGGCTCCTCTAGCGGAGCCCTAGGATCCTTGTGCGGTGCTGTTTGGTGCGGGCGGAGCCTCACAGAGCCCGGGGTGGGGGTGGGGGAGCGCTCTGGCCCTGCTCCGCCTACATTAACCAGTCCAGGTCCCCGAGGTCACCCAGCCCATCCTGCACCCAGCACCAAGGGCAGGGAGCACGTTGAATCCGGCGGGTGGGCTCAGGGCTGTCAGACAGTCTGTAGGAGAATCAAGAGAACAGACCTGGGGAACACTGGACAAACACCCCGTTAAACAGCGGCAAACACAGTCACCTCAGAGATGGCTCAAAACCTCTCCAGATTCCTTTCCCTTAATATCCTTCTGGGTCTCTGTGGCCTTGCAGCTACTCAGAGAATCTATATTGAGTATCTACTTACCGGGTGCTTGGTCCTGGGTGAAGGGTGCAGAGGTGCCCAGATAGTTGGGGGCTCTGATGTAGGCAGTCAGTTGTTGGAGGCACCCCAGCCCTGGCACCACCTCCAAACTTCTTAGGCCGGTGTGTACCGCCTTTTTCTCCCAGCGGGAGCAAGTCCTAGAATGACTCAGAGAGCTTCCCAGCCTGTTTGTTTCATAGTGTTACCCACCATCTGGGCAGGTGCAAGTCAGCGGGAGGCTGCCTGGTGAAAGGGTCTGGCCAGGCTAGCCAATGCCATAGCAGCACAGGCTTTGGACGTGGGTAGCCACAGTCAAGGGTCTGTGGTCTTCTTCATCTGGTCACTTCTAAGTGTGTTCCTGGGAACCCTCTGCAGGTGGAGGCCCTCCCGCGGCTCTGCCTGCCACACTCCAGGGCAAGACTTGATAGAGGCAGCTGCAGAGCTGACCTCATGTGGGTGGCGGACTCCACAGTTAGCCACCTTGTAAAGACTGCCTCTAGCTTCTGACATCTAATTTTATTCTGAGAAATCTATTTTAGGGAGAGGATCTGAGTTTAGAGAAGTCTTAAAAATACAAAGGCTCTTTACAGGTTATTTACAATAATTAAAATCTCGATATCTAAAACCAGAAAAATAATTAAATCACGGCATATATAATACAAGAGAAATACCATATGAAGTTACTAACGGGTTGTAATGTGGTGTCTGCCTGTTTGCCAGCTGGCTGAGACAGTCTCACGGTGTATTCCCAGCTGTCCTGGCACACTGTATGTCCACCAGGCTGGCCTCAAAGTCACCTATCCACCTGCCAAGTGCTAAGGTTAGAGTCATGCCTCGCCACACCTGACTCAACACAAAAGTAGCTTTATGCTATAGTGTTACATGCAAAACACAGGCCCTAGGCTTTACACGGAGAGCAAAGCATTATTTCCAGAGGACGTAAGGAAAACCACCACATGACGTCAGTCTCGACTCCATTGTCACTGTCTGATGTCAGTATGGTCTGCTGTGGGAATACCCAAGGGGGATCTGACTGGTTCTGCTCTCTATATTCGATATCTGTTCATGCTCCAGAGGGGGAACCCGTCAACTTGGTCTAAAAGCTCCTGATCTTTCTCCTCAGTGCTGTGAGCATGAGCATCTGTCTGCCCACCTCTCCAAAGCCAGAGTCCAGCGGGCAGGGAAATGGGTGAAGAAGACTGGAGCAGCATGTTTATCCTACCAAGCGTGTACGTGCAGTCCTTTCATACACAATCCAGACCCAACCAGCTGCCTGGATCGCTATCTCGCTCATCAGGGCGTGGGACGATGCCTCCCATCTGTCCCTGGGCATTGTCAACGGGAACATTTCCAGAGTGCATGTGGCAGTGTCTTCAGCTCTCTTCCCGGTTCTCTCCACTTTATTATTACACAGCTGCCCATGCCGGTCTGTTTGTCGCTGTGAGGCAAGCTCTGCCCTTGGGGAACCTGAACCAGCTTCCCCATCTATTCCTCTGCTCCCTTTGCTTTCAGCCTCCCCTCTTCTTGTCTTAGGCGTGATGGATTTGTAATCCACCTTCCTCCTCCTCTTATCTTGGTTCCTTTACTAACTAAAGTCATGACAGTTGTAGCCCCTGTCCTCAGTAGGTCTACATTCATCTTTCATGAGCCGCAGCTTTGATGAATGTGACATCCACAAACCAACCACTTCTCATCATCCTATCTTAGGAATTCCTCAAATCTGGACATTCTGCTTTCTCATGACCCTGCTCCTCCTCTGATGCCAAGTCACCCAGGCTCAGTATAAGCACACGGTACTTGGCCTAGGGCTGCTGTTTAGCTGGTGTTCTTCCTGCATCAAGGGGGGGAGGGGCAGTGATTCCTGGCCCTTTGGCTTCCCCATTGTTGTTCAGGTCAGTTAGCTTTGCGTTAACTTAACAATCACCTTATAAGGACAAAGGTTCACTTTGTCTCAGATGTTAGAGGTCTCTCTTCACTCTTTGTTGGACGTATTGCTTTGGGCCTGTAGTGAGACAATGTGCCATGGTGGGAACACAGGCAGAGCAAAACCAGTACCTCTCAGCTAGGAAACAAAAGACAGGGAGGGGGCTAGAGTGACCCTGCTCCTTGCAGGTATTCCCCAAATATCTTAAAGGCATCCCGCCAGGCTCCACCTCTTTTTTTTTTTTAAACCTCATGTTAAGCCGGGCTGTGGTGGGGCACACATTGAATCCCAGCACTCGGGAGGCAGAGGCAGATGGATATCTGTGAGTTTGAGGCCAGCCTGGTCTACAGAGCTAGTCCCAGGATAGGCTCCAAAACTACAGAGAAACCCTGTCTTGAAAAACCAAAAACAAAACAAAACCAAAAAAACCTTGTGTCAATAGCACCAAGCTGAAGATCAAGCCTTTAATGCACAAGACTTTGGGGCATTAAATGACCCAAACCGTAAGGTTGGGGATGCTCCGTGAGTAAATTGCTTGCTTTGTATGCATGAGGACCTGTGTCCCCCTCCCTCCAGAATTCAAGCTTTAAAAAAGTATGTGGGGTGTGTGTGTGTGTGTGCATGCGTGTGTGTGTCCGTGTGCCCTTGTAATTGTGGCGATGGGGAGGCAGAGACAGGAGGATCCCTGAGGCCAAACAGCCTACCTCAATTGGGGAGTTCCAGGTCGGTGAGAGACCTTAACTCAAAAGAAGGTCAGCAGCACCTGGGACCAGCTGGAGGTCATCATCTGTTGTCTATCCGCAGGCACATGTACTGTACATGGATGTGCAGTCCTCATGCAAGCACATGCATGATCGTGCACAAAGATCAGCGCCATACAATACCCTTGACCTTTCTATCCCATGATTCCTACTGCCTTTGGGGCCAACCATCATTTCCCTGAGGGTTCTGGGTCTTCCGTAGGGAGCACCCTCATACTGCCGAGCTTTCATCTTAAACATGGAACCCAGCTGCAGCAAGTTAACCACGCTAGTGCTTCCTCACCAGGGCCAAGACCAGGTTGGGAATGGCTCCCAAGGCCCATGCTGACTCTCCTGAAAGATGGAAGCGAGCCTCTGGGCCATCTGGGTCATTGTATCTCCATCCTGCACCCCACAGGCGTGGCCAGACCCCTCTGTCTTCTCTGCTCACACCAGATCCACCACCTTCCTCTTGACTACAGTCCCCCACCCGATAGGATTCATGTAGATAAAGGAGATCTGCCTTCGTTTACCCCCAGAGCTCCTCTGTGGAGAGCTTGCTCATTAAAGGCACCTTTCACCAAAGCTGGTTTCTTGGCGCTCTCCCGAGGCCTCCTGGGAGAGTGCCCTGCTTCAGAAAAGAAACTTGTGATGGTGGCACATGGCTTTAATCCCAGCAGAGGAGGCGGAGCTCCGTGAGTCTACAGAGTGAGTTCTGGGGCAGCCAGGACTGTGTCACAGACAAACCAAAAAGAAAAGGGAGGGAGGGAGGGGGAGAGAGAGAGAGAGAGAGAGAGAAAGAAAAAGAAACTGCCCACTACCTTCTAAGCTCCTCAGGCCCTGACGGCTGGGACAGTAGAAGAGGAGCCCCCATTTCCCTGCACAGCCTGCTTCCTTCCCGAGGATCCCCCATTCTATACACAGCCTGCTCTTTCCCACGTGGCCCCTCCCTCGGGGATTCTACCTTCTCAGCTTTTCAGCCCACACTCTCTGGTCCTCCCCCACATGGAGCCTAGGGCTGGTTCAGACTTCAGTCCCACAGTAGGGGGTCATGGGCCAGCTCTGAGTTTGTAGGTCTAGGTCTGGTTATTTAATTTTCATTTAATTTTTTACTTTAAAAATGGAAACATCTATATTTTTGGTTTCTATTCTCAAAGTCAAGAATCTGACAAGGCCCCATCTGGTAAGGTGAGTCCCTTTGTACACAATTTGAGCTACTCACCACAGATCCCAGCCTCTTCCCATCCCCTCCCCCTCTTTCTCCCCCCTCCTGTCCCCCTCTCCACTCCCTCCCACCTCTCCCGCCCAACAGTGGATCTCAGCAGGCTCAGTTTGCCTTGGCGTGCCTGGCTCTGCAGGGATGGGATTTGTTATTCATATGGCCAGTGGGACCCTTCCAGGACCACTGTCTGTAAAGCGCAGACCACAGCCTAGGTCCCTTCCTTCCAGGGCCACTGACTATAAAGCGCAGGCCACAGCCTAGGTCTCTTCCTTTCTCTCACCTGAAAGTTCATTTCCTTACTGCTTTGATCTTGCTCATTTGTTTGGTTGCAAGCACCTTTAGGCTGGTCAACTGTGTATCAGCTTAGAACAATAGTTACAAACTTTTCCCGGAGAGTTCTTGGGAATATGAAAAAAACGAAACAAAACAACAAACAAACAACCCTCTGATGCGCTCAGTTCTTCCACTTCCAATTCACACATGCAGCACCTTAACCAGAGCTGCAGACATTCACCAAAGCTGCAGACATTCACCAGAGCTGCAGACATTCACCAGAGCGGCAGACATTCACCAGAGCTGCAGACATTCACCAGAGCTGCAGAGAGTCACACATGCAGCGCCTTAACCAGAGCCGCAGACATTCACCAGAGCTGCAGACATTCACCAGAGCTGCAGACATTCACCAGAGCTGCAGAGAGTCACACATGCAGCGCCCTAACCAGAGCTGCAGACATTCAC